AAGGGTGGATGTCGATTTTTTGAAAAAAGGAAAATGTTCTCAAAATGTCTTAAATTTTACATCATTCTCAGGGTACGGAAGCGAGGAATGCATCAAACTCATTTAAAAACACGCTAGAAGTTTCAGATCCGAAATAATAGACATTTTCGGTACATTTTAAGAGTTTTTTGAGCGTTTACGATCTTTAACCGACGATTTCTTCCTTATCATTGACGCAAACGCTTTACAAATGTATATTTGTGATCTTCTTACACCGAAAGGAATCGATTGAGCTCAAAAAACATGCATGTGAAATTTTGATTTTTAAAAAAAATCGTAAATTTTTCAAAATGTCAAAATCGAACTCTTTGAAAAACGTGCTAGAAGTTTCAGATCCGAAATAATTACTTAAATCTGAATCTATTCAGAGCCGATTTTGTTCCAAACTGTTGCAAATACAAATTTTCTTATAGACAGTGAATGTGTCGAGAATTCACTTTGCGAAAAATCTGATGTTCTATTTTGAAAATGAGTTAATCGCAGTAAACTTGAAAGTATTTTGTTCGGAAAATCGTCTTTTCGACCTTAACCGATTGCAATTTTCCGAGGTGCAGTTTTTATAGAACATCGTTCGTTTTTCCACACATTTCAAAATTTAAAAATCGGCTCGATATTAACAGTTACGAAGAAAATTTCCACATGCATAAAGCGGTTTTTTCAAAAGAAAATCGACCTTAACTCCACAAAGAAAACATTAGACTTGAAAAATCGTCTTTTCGACCTTCAAATTCTTGAGACGTTCAAGATTCTCAACTGATTTCCAGTTTGCAAAATACGATTTTTAGACCAAACCACTCGTTTTAGGACGAATTTGAATGATCCAAATCGGGCCCGTATTAAGAGCGTTACTAATTTATTCATACTGAAGGATCTGATGCGTCATATAATCATAATAACCGCAAACTATTCATAATATGCGTGTCATTCGCGTTAGTGTTTGCCATCATACAAAGTATTTATTTTCTTCTATTATCCATTAAATTAGAAAAAAAATATCGTTAGTTTGGGTTCGCTTTTATATAATTTTCAGTCAACATCGACTTGCTACAGTCACTTGGAAAAATGCATTTTTTTTTAAACCGGGCAAAGTCAGCGGTTTGCCGATTTTTGCAATCAGTAACGCAGCACTTGCTCGATGTGCGCTGAAGGTTTACAACATATTCAGCAGTTTTTCCTTCCACTTTCAAGCTAAGGCGATTTTAAAGTAGTCGATTTTACCATTAAATAACGCCTACTTCGGCTCGGCTAAAAATTCGGATCGTTAAAAAACGAGAATGGCGCTTTTGACTACAAGATGCAAACATTCCTAATATCTTTAATATTAGCACAGAAAAATCTGCTTTTCCAAAAAAAGTAAAAAAAGCGATGGTCTCATGAAAACGGAACTCAAAAACTATTTTGCCGATATTTTTTGGTACATTTGCGTCCAGTTTTCGCGCTAACATACCTTAAGGGTGCAAATTAATTGCTGCCGATACGGCGACACATTCCATAATCTAACTTGCCCTTCACACCCTCCGCTTATCAACATTCGTCCATGGGACGTGATCGCCAGAGCAGAGACTCCCTTATTATGAGCATTCAGTATTGCATAGATCAATCGGCCAGTTAATGGAGTAAATGAGCTGAAAACGCCCTTAAGCAAATTGACTGGGATTTTGCAATGACTAATCACCGAATCACTCCATCATTCCAAGCCGTTATTATGGATTTGCCATCGTGAGCGAACAAAACGCTCGAACAAGTGAAGTTGTGCACGCATATGCGGAGCAGTTCTTGCATGGTGCTCATTGACCAAACTCGCACATTATCATGACTGGCAGTGGCAAATACTTCGGAAAAGTTACTGAAAAAATGCCGATTACAGAAGCTAATTGGGTTTTTTTGCGCCACCACTCACTGAGGAAAAGCGATGTCGTAGATTGCAGACGTGTGGCACGTAAGAATGAGCTTGGCATGGAAGTCAGTTAGGTTCACTTCGTAGATTTCTGAAGCCGCAGTTCCCACCAAAATGATTGCATCGTTCTTCATCAGCTGCAAAAATCTGAATTTCAGCCTTTTGCACAGCAACTAACATGAACTACCTGAATGGAAGTCACTGCGCTATTAACATTGGTCGACTTCAGAATCTTCAAGGCAGGCACAGAAGGCAGTTTCACATCAGAGTCCAGGGGCAGGACAGGTTTTTCTGCCTCTACAACCAACTCCAAAGTGCCGTCTCCTGCTCCCACTATCAGAGCGCCACTGAACAACCTTCTTATTGTGCGCACTCCTAATTTTATTTATTACGATTTTTATTTTGATTATATTTTATACGATTAGTCCCTCAGTACCTTGCTGGTAAAGATCCACGCTCCCCCTTCGCAATTTTTTCTTGGATATTCGTGCAAAGCACCCTACCACGCAAGGCGTTTTAACTGGCTCCAAAATTTCCATGTCGTGGTGAAAGTTGAGTCTAATCTTCAATATGTCTCCAGTGGTGGTCCCACAATACATCATCTAAGACTGCTGTAAGTTCCCCAAATAACTCCAACCCGATATTTCCTTACCTCGTCCCTCTCGTTGCCATCCACGCACAACACTATCCTTTTCAGCTTGGACATTGCCACATCCATGCTTCTCACGCTTCGAGCTGCCACATCTATTGTCCAGACCGCCAAATGGCAATCGCCGGCAGTGACGAAACACTGTCCTCTCCGCATCATGGGCAGGAGGACGGTGGCATCCCCTTGGACACCACGCGAAGCCTGCGCCCCACACACCACCTGTCCTATCGTCATGTCCCAAATCACCACCGAGCCACAGTCTCTTCCACCTTAAAATGTAGTTTTTTTTGGTAATTTATCGGCAGTTTTTTCACTGTGGCTAGATCAAGGGCGAATCCAGGGGGGGTGATGGGGGTCATGACCCCCCCCATTCAATTCTCTGTCCAACGATGCCAAAACGAATTCTGTGGCTCGAATGGTTCTTGAGAAACTTCGAAAAAAGCAGCGTCATGTTCAAGTGGATTTTGCAACTCAAAAAAAAACCACGCAAATCTAAAACTTCTTGAATTCAAGCATTTTTTGAGAAAACTGCCAACATTTTCTTATCCATGGTTTACTTTCTAAAAAGGCAATTTATTTATCTCTAGAAAGATGTACAAATGAGCGTTCTTGCTCATTTTTTCTCCGAGAAATGAGCAAAAACGGGACGGAAAACATGAAATTTTGGCGTAATCTTCCACCTAAGTGTCTGATATTCAAATTCCGCTTTCTGGGTTAAAACTACTCGAATTTCCTCACTCACGTTGTTACAACTAAATCGAGTTTTTAATTCTCTATTCAACAATGCCAAATCGAATTCTGTGGCTCAAATGGTTCTTGAGAAACTTCGAAAAAAGCAGCGTCATATTCAAGTGAATTTTGCAATTCAAAAAAAAACCACGCAAATCTAAAACTTCTTGAATTCAAGCATTTTTGGAGAAAACTGCCAACATTTCCCCATCCATGGTTCACTTTCTGAAAAGGCCAGTTATTTCTGTCTATAATGATGTACAAATGCGGGTTCTTGCTCATTTTGCCTTCGAGAAATGAGCAAAAACGGGACGGAAAACATGAAATTTTGGCATAATCTTGAACCTAAGTGTCTGATATTCAAATTTCACTTTCTGGGTCAAAATTACTCGAATTTCCGCATTAACGTTGTTACGACTGAATGAACTTTTCAATTCTCTATCCAACGATGCCAAAACTAATTCTGTGGCTCGAATGGTTCTTGAGAAACTTCGAAAAAAGCAGCGTCGTGTTCAAGTGGATTTTGCAACTCAAAAAAAAACCCGCAAATCTAAAACTTCTTCAATTTAAACATTTTTTGAGAAAACTGTCAACATTTCCTTATCGATGGTTCACTTTCTAAAAAGGCCATTTATTTCTCTCTAGAATGATGTACAAATGAGCGTTCTTGCT